AAAAAAAAAAAAATGATGCACATATCAGGTGCATGTGACAAATTATTAGTCTTAAAGCTAAGCAGATTGTCAAAGTGAAAGCCAATTTAACTGCATAGTGCAGCAAGCAATTGAACAGAGTTCATTAACTGCGAAGTGAATGAAAATGCAAGCACAACATTAAGCCTGTTGGAACCAAGAGTTTAACCCAAGGAAACATCTAATTAAATGAAACGTTGTTCTGGGAGAAAGCTACACAAACTTATCTACCTCTCTTTTTAGGTTTTCTTACCAAACACATTTGGCTAGCAGGCCAGCAGTTTTTTACTTTACCACTGAGGCTTTGTTTTTAAATTTTCAAAAAATTGTTTTTTATATGTTAAGATTGCCTCAACTCTTTTCCTCACTTAAGCTCTCAGTGCCTTTTCTTTTGTACCAGAAATCAGCACTGGATGGCTCGTGCAGGTGGGTGTCAGGTGGGGACCGTTACCTTGCCAGTGGTGGGCCTGGGACATTTCCTGCACGGCCTGCAGCCGCGCTGCCTTATCGGCCGACATGCTCTTCCTCAGGAGCAGCCACACCGTGCACTCGTGGTCCTCCACGTCCACCGTGCTAAAGGTGTCTGCAGAAAACAGGACAATGTGAACAGTCAAGACGACATCTTCATTCTCACGTTTATTTCAGATGATAATTTATAAATAGTTGAAATCTACAATAAAAGAGTTGAATCCATTTATAGGTATTGATAATAACTGATGTACTTGTTCTCAGTACTGCCCTATTAGTTTGCTACGTGTACTACGTGTCTCTTACGTTTTATATACTATATTGTTTCATTATGTGTTTTTTTGCTTTTTCCCCAAAAAACTTTTTATTATGAAAAATATCAAACCGAAGAACTGAAAGAACAGTACAATAAACATCCATAGACTTATCACATCTAGCTTCAATTACTTTTACCATTTTGCCTTATTTGCTTCATGTGTTTGCACGTGTAATGAGTCGTGGATGTCATAAAAGATTACGCGTGCGGCTGTTACCCGAAATGTTGGCAGTTTGAACTCACCCAGTGGCTCCACAGGAGAAAGACCTGATGGTCTGCTTCCATAAGGATTACAGCCAAGAAAACCCTATTGGGCAGTTCTACTCTGTCACATGGGGTCACTTATGAGTCAAAATCGACTTGATTGCACCCAACAACAACATACACATGGGTGTGTATTTTTCTTCCTAAACTACTTGAAAGGAAGTTGCAGACATAATGACATTTCACCCTTTAATCACCAAATAAGCCTATATTCTTCTACATAACTACTATGTCATTATCACACCCAAGAACACTAACAAAGACTCGCAAAGTCATCTAAAGCCAGTCCAACTCCATATTAAATTTCTCCCATTGTCCCTAAAATATCTTTAGAGCTGTTTCTTAAAACCAGTATTTAATTATGTTTCTGCAGTCTCTCTTAAATCTGGAAAAGTTTTCCCACCTTTTCATGAGGGTAACTTTTTAAAGAGATTAGGTCAGCCATTTTATAGCTACTGTGGATTTGTCTGTGAAATCTACATTTTTGATGCAGTACTTTCATTATGAGAAAGCATAGGAGGGATTTTCTGGCAAGTTTAAAATTTTGCAACTCTCGTAAAGAGAATAGCATCTATTTAGTCTCAATATTTATTTACAACTATCTAACAGTAATACATCTACGAAGATGGAAGAAAGAAAACTGTTGAAAATATTTAGCCTTTAAGATTAAATACAACCCACACACGTATACCAATGTTCACCGCAGCACTAGCCACCATAGCCATGAAAGCCACCTAAATGTTCATCAGCAGATGAATGGATAAACAAAATGTGGTAAATCCACAATGGATTATTACTCAGCCATAAAGAGAAATGAAGTTCTGATTAATGTTACATGATGAACTTTAAAAACTTGATGGTGAATGAAATTAATCAGTCACAAAAGGACAAATACTGTATGATCTCACTTACATGAAATGACAAGAGTAGGCAAATGTACAGAGACCAAAGTTTAGGGTGAGAAGGAAGGGAAGGAGAAGTGTCACTGTTTGGGAAACAATGAGCTGCTGTTTACGGTGATGGAAAATTGAATATCAATCAAGGGTAACGGTTGCCCAACGTGATTAATGTAACTGATATCACTAAGTTGTACACCTGAAAAATGCTGGATTGGCAAACATGTAATATATATTTTTACAACAATAAATAAAAAAGATTAAATACAAACCAAGAGAACAATGTTAACCAATCAATTTCCCATAGATACACTAAACCTCAGCATAAGAAATGGGAAAAAAATCTCAGGTTGATCATCAAACGACTTTCAAATTACTGATAAGGATTCCAAGTTAAATATTTGGTACTTACCAGCAAATGGATTCCGTAATATTTTGGCTGATGTTGCCAATAGTTTTCTTACTATTTTATGAAGTTCTTTCCTTGCCTGGTAGATGATTCCTAAAATGATTACAAACTTAAATGAAAGTAAGTGTGTACTCTTAATGCATACTTAGCTTCTTCAAAAAGAAATGTATACACTAAATTCCAAATTTGTTTTTCACAAAGAAACACAAAACAACACCTTTCTTCTGTTTTATTGTCACTATCAATGCAATTAATACAATATGGGAACACATAGCTATAGAACCCAAAATAAGCTTGCTTTCCAAGTTAGGCAAAAAAGTGAAAAATAAAATATAACAAAAGCCATTATCTAACTAAAGCTAACAAAAATCCTCATATGCAACACAGAATTAGCTATATCCAGGAAAATATCCCTTTGAAAACAGCCCATCTCAAACTGAAATTTGGAGATACCTCACTCATGAGAGTAAGCCCCACTATACAGGTAAACTGTAGGCTATCAAAGTTATCTTTTCAGTTGGAATGCTAACACACCATACAGGCATGTTGAAACACAGGAGATGATGTGATCATGAATACCAGTAGGAATGCGGTGGTAGCTACAGATTGTGGGAGGGGCCGAGACCGCCCACTCGGGAAGACTAAGTGCTTCCCTAACAGTCAAGGCTAAGCTGTCCAGTGTGGTGACTCATCAGGCCACCTGTACCCTGAGGAAAAGACTGCTCTGCTCTAAAATTCCACGTTCATCAAGGAAACCTGTGATTACTAGTCAGGCTTCCGTGTGACCTAATGTTGAGAAAGTGAGTGTCCTAACTGGTACTACAGAACTGTCTTATAGGGTCACTATGAGTCGGAATCGACTTGATGGCAATGGGTTTGGTTTTTTTTTAATCTTTATGGGAGCAGATTGCCACATTTTTCTCCCATGGAGACCCTCAGTGGGTTCAAACCACTGACCTTAACCACTTAACCACTGCACCACCAGGGCTCCTTCCTAACTGGTAAGGACAGGCCTTTTAGCCTTTGTGACAGATTTTCCCCTCCATAAATAAGTTGGTTGGTACATGAATCAGTCTCATGAGTTTAGTTTTCCTGAATACATCCCTTAAACCAGAAGCATCTCTGAGCTGACTAACAAAACTGTGTTTCTGTACTTGCCAAACTGAGGGCCCCCACTGAGGTGTGGGGTTCTAGGTTCAAACTAAAAGAGTCATCTGGCCTTAGCTTCACTTTGTTATAGGAGGGTTGCAACCTTGGGTTCAATGTGGAAATTCAAAATTTGGTCTTTCCTTAATTTTTTCAGAGCTTGGTTCTCATGGGGTTTGGTGATTCTCAGAGTTAGCTGAACTTATTTTATTAGCTGATGTTTTAAATAGATTCATTTTTAAATTCAATATACTAGCTTCCATTTTTCACAAAAATAGGATTATTCTACCATCAACTTACCATGATTTTCTCTGTTATCTAAAGACACTGTATTCACGTATACGTATGACTTCATTTTTTCTTTTTCTACCACTTGAGTATCTAGTGTCAAAGACTTCTTCAGGGCCAGAACTTCATATGTAAAAAATAAAGAACCTCTTAAAGATAAATGAAAAAAATCATAAGTATATCACCTAAATGTAACACAAGAGCTATTCTTCTTCATTAAGCTTTTCATAGTAAACTTTTTATATTTATTGGGAAAAATATATACAGAAACATGCATATAACATATTTTAGTGCATGTGTGTTCAACACACTCAGTTTAATGAATAACAAAAAATCTGCTTAACCATATCAAGACAAGGAACAGAACAGTAACAGCACCCCAGAAGCCCCCACGTGAACCCTCCCTCATCCTGATCTGCTCATCTCTGTACATAATTATTATTCTGAGTTTTATTATAATAATGTCCTCGCTTTTCTATATAGCTTTACCACCTACATATGCATCCTTAAACAACAGAGTTTAGCTCTGCCTGTTTCTGAACTTCATTTGAGTGGAATCACACTGTGTGTACCCTTTACTCAGCCTTACGCTTGTCATGCATCCACGCGCTGCATGTATCTCTAGTCCGTGTACTTCTCTTTCGATGTGGTATGTGGTTCATCCACTGTATAAACATACCACAATCTACTCATCCATCCCACCAGAGCTGGGCATTGCTTACAGGCAATGCTGCTCCCCATCTTCCACATCTTGGCTGTGACCACGTCAATATATGCTTCTCTAGGGCAGTGTGGATACTTTGACAGTATACACACTGTTCAACTTTACTAGGTAATGACAAACTGTTTTTTCAACAAGGTTATACCAATTTATACTCCCATCTCCAGCATATGAAAGCTTTTGCTCTCCTAAGAACTATACCTAAACTCGATTTTTAAATGTGAAATGAAGCTTGTTGTGCACCCCTCAGTGGAGATCTTCCCCCTAACTAGATTGAGCTACGGCCACTGTGTGAACCCAGACACAGGTGCATCCTGTCCTGAGCCTTCTCCTGGCCTTCAGTCTCCAGCCTAAAGAAGCAGGGGGGCAGAAAGGCCAGACACTGGCCAGACCAACAGGACAGAGAGGAGCTCTCCGGAAGCCTCTCCTCCCTTGGGGAGCCTATCTGAGCAGCCAAAGACAGCACGGGCATGGAGGATTTGTATCACGCTTTCCATGGGAGACGTTCCTTACCAAAAAATGTGTGATTCTTTTTACTCTGCCCTGAATAGAATCTAGACAAAGCAACTGTATTACAGAAAAGGGTATACATTTATCCTTTGCCCAAAATGCATCAAAGGGAAATCATCCAAACAAGCTTTGACTTACATTACAACAGGATTGACAAACATATGTATTTGGATAAAATGTAAAAATGTAAATTATATCTCCATCATTTTAGCATCTAAGAGTTAAGTTTTTATTTATACTAGTGGAAAATAGTATTACTAGTAAATTTAATAGAGTAGTATTATATACAATTTCATCAAATAAATTCCCTGCCCCTGCAAAAAAGGGGGAAAGGTAAGAGAACAATATGAGTAACAGTTTGAGAAGTGAGGCCGCACCCACTGAGCGCGCATGTCTGGAGACTCATGAGGGGGGAGATGTGACTTGCTCTCCCAGTCAGCCTCCATCTCTCAATCTAAGCGGTAATTTAAGAGATTCTCTAAAATAATTTTCACTACTGTGTTTTTTACACAAATAATGCATGTGTTATGCCAGAAGCGTTTTACTTAATTTCATCATTTCCACGTGTTATATGCGTGGGCACATTATTTACGTGGGCGTGTTATTTGCGAAAAATATGGTATGCCCAATTTTTACCTTCTTCAACCACTTTAGAACTTAAGACAAGATGCTGCCCATTGTGGTGACTTTAAATGTGTCAAAGCTAAGTGCTGAATGCCTGCTATGTATGTTATCAGGTGCCTTCCTCACAGCCCCTGCTGAAGGGGGAGGTAGAACTCCCTCATCTACTCGGACCCGGGAGAAAACAGGCCTCAGACAGGTAAGTAACTTGACCAAGATAACATCTAAGTGGTAGAACCAGTGATTAAATCCTTCTAATTCCAAAATCCATACTGTTTTACTACCCCGTGCTACCTGTAAATCACTTCCATTGAGATTTCAATAGTAATGTCGTGAAACCAATTAGGATTTCCCAGCTGACACTTACCCTAGAATAAGGGAGCCAGTAAACTTTATAATATTTCCTTCAAAAAGAAAGGAAAAAAGTCAATGTGATGAAATTCATTTTTAAACGTTTGACACAAAACAGGCAACAGTGTTAGTCTCTATCCGTATCATATAAAATCAGATAAGACATCAGTATTTTTCCATGAATATGTTTGGTTGCTATTAACATATGGTTTCCCATCCCCAGATACAAACAGCCTAATCAACAAGTACTGGGTACACAAATATAACTATATTTATGGCACTGCGTTCTCATTCTCTGCCTGCCCCACCTCTGGCTCTCCCAGGCCTTGTCCCACTACTGAAATTGCCAGACTGTGGGCTCCCACTGAAGACACGGCCCGGAAGCTACTTCTCTCTGACTCCTTTTGTCGTTTCCAACCAATTAAATCAAAGAAGAGGGAGAATGCTCCTATCACCACCAGCACTATACCAGTGATTATGTGTCCCCAGCAGAACACAAACTGAGTTTTCCCAAAGTAACTATGTTACAATTGATGATTAAGTGCCACATGTAGGTAGCCCATTTTAAATATACACTGTACTCTACAAACGTATTTAAAAACTTTTGTTTAAAGATTGGACAGCATTTTTTTTAACATTAAAAAAAATCCTCGTGGCAGACACAGCTAGTTGCCTATTCATTATACATAAACTCCTTAATCCTAATTAACACAACTTTATTACAAAAGATATCTAATTTCCCAGATGACTCTGAGTCTGGGGCTAGCTGTATAACAACAAAGTGTGGCCAATGAGATATGGGCAGAAGTCTATAGGATCCCTTCCCAAACAAAAAGACAAAGATCCATAAGGTGGCTTTTGGCCCTTCTGCTTCTTGATGTCCAGGGATTCAGCAGCCATCTTGCAACCACGAGGAGAAAAACATTAAAGATAATGGGGCAGGAAGACAAAAGCGTTGTTAAGATGCTATTCCTGCTCTAAACTGTCTCTCTCAACTTCCTATTATGTGAGAAAAATGAAAACCTTACTAACTGAAGCCACTGTAGTCAAGTTTCTGTTACATGCGCTGAACACAACCTTAACTGATATCTGTCACCCACGATGGTTAGGGACCAAGGCCAGCCCACAAAGATTTACTTAGCCTGTAATTTATTTGACATCTAGAGGGAGCACGGCCTTGGTTCAGAGCTTCAACTCATGCAGCCAAGAGCACGACTGAGGGAGAAGGAAATGCTCCTTGCTGGACTTCGCCTATGCATCGGTAATGGGCATTCCTCCCAAACTCTAGCATCCCAGTGGTGGTTCTCCTGGGTGGGGAGAGCACAGTCCCAGAAGGTCTGCGGGGTAAAAGGGGAAGTTGTGCCACACAGGGCTGCTTGGCTGCAATTCCCTGGGACATTTTTCCTTCTAAGATGCTTCCCGGACGTTCCTCCCACCCCAACCCCGTAGGCCCCAGGGACTGGCCTGTGTCCTCCTCTACTGCTACCATTAAATTATCCCTTTTTACTGGGCCCCTGGGAACAGAACAGAGTCTCACAGCCTTTCCTCCTATCCAGAAGTAAATTTACCACTCTTGCTCCTGAGTTGGTTGTGCTAGAAATGATGAGAGAAGAGAAGCTCCCTTCTCTGACCCCTCTTATTTTTTTACAGTTAGAACACAGAATCAAACAATTTTCTAGATAAAAAGATCTATCCTAAAAGCAGAACTATCCTAAAGACCAAAAGCAAGCCCCATGAGGACAGGGACTTTGTCTTATTCAACACTGTGTCCTCAGGACCTAGGATAGTACCTGGTATATAGAAAGCCAATATTTGTCAAATGGATGAATGATGACTGCAAGGCATGGAATCCTTTGCGGTGGATAATTTGGCCTTTTAGTCCTGGTTCTGAGAGTAGGAGCACACCTGAGACAATGAGTGAGAGCCGACTCAACTAAGAGGGACAGGGCCAGATTAAGGCATGTGAGGGCCCCAAGCACTGATAATCTGTGCAGCCCCAGCCTCTGCTTACTTACGCAAACGGGACATATGAGTTATATATATTCACATATATGTGTGTGTGTGTATCTTAGCTATCCATGATGTAAGTTCTTTTTAAATGAGACTATACTATGGAAACCCTGGTGGCATAGTGGTTAAGAGCTACGGCTGCTAACCAAAAGGCTGGCAGTTTGAATCCACGTGGCATTCCTTGGAAACCCTATAGGGCAGTTCTACTCTGTCCCATAGGGTCACTATGAGTCAGAATTGACTCAACAGCAATGGGTTTGGTTTTTTGTTTTTGTTTTTTGATTATACTATGCAAAGGCATTCGACTGTGTGGCTCATAACAAATTATGGATAACACTGCAAAGAACGGGAATTCTAGAACACTTAATTGTGCTCATGAGGAACCTGTACATACATCAAGAGGCAGTTGTTCAAACAAAATACAGGGATACTGTGTGGTTCAAAGTCAGGAAAGGTGTGCATCAGGGTTGTATCCTTTCACCGTACTTATTCAATCTGTATGCTGAACACATAATCTGAGAAGCTGGACTATATGAGGAAGAACGGGGCATCAGCACTGGAGGAAGACTCATTAACAACAGGCGTTATGCTGATGACACAACCTTGCTTGCTCAAAGTGAAGAGGACTTAAAGCACTTACTGATGAAGATCAAAGACCACAGCCTTCAGTATGGATTACACCTCAACATAAAGAAAACAAAAATCCTCACAACTGGACCAATAAGCA